CACACACACACTGTCTCTGTCTCTGTCTCTGTCTCTGTCTCTGTCTCTGTCTCTGTCTCTGTCTCTGTCTCTGTCTCTGTCTCTGTCTCTCTCTCGTGTCTGAATCTCCAAAGCTGGAATTCACACCCAACAGTTCAGCTCCTAGAAGTGGGCCTCATCCTCCCTGATTGGATCCACCTTGTCATCTCCAGCCTGATTCTGGCCTGCATATTTATACCTGCCTCTGGAAATTTCCACTACATGTATCTGACGAAGTGGGTCTTTGCCTACGTAAGCTTATGCTCCAACACTTCAGTTAGTCAATAAGGTGCCACAGGACTCCTCGCCGCTTTAACAAATATTGTGAGTCTCGTGAAAAATAATTATGTGTTGGTAAGGCTGTGTGAGAGAATGATCCAAGCCTGATCTGCTGTATTCCTTCACGGGAGAAGAGTGATAGGCTCTTCCAAAGCCAACCCACGTGTGTCTATTGTAGGACTGCCCCAAATCCATATAGAATTCACTATAATGATTGAAAGAGGGGGTATGTCTACACTACCCCGCTAGTTCGAACTAGCGGGGTAGTGTAGACATACCCCCTCTTTCAATCATTATAGTGAATTCTATATGGATTTGGGGCAGTCCTACAATAGACACACGTGGGTTGGCTTTGGAAGAGCCTATCACTCTTCTCCCGTGAAGGAATACAGCAGATCAGGCTTGGATCATTCTCTCACACAGCCTTACCAACACATAATTATTTTTCACGAGACTCACAATATTTGTTAAAGCGGCGAGGAGTCCTGTGGCACCTTATTGACTAACTGAAGTGTTGGAGCATAAGCTTACGTAGGCAAAGACCCACTTCGTCAGATACATGTAGTGGAAATTTCCAGAGGCAGGTATAAATATGCAGGCCAGAATCAGGCTGGAGATGACAAGGTGGATCCAATCAGGGAGGATGAGGCCCACTTCTAGGAGCTGAACTGTTGGGTGTGAATTCCAAGAGAGGAGAAACTGCTTTTGTAGTTAACAAGCCATTCACAGTCTTTGTTTAATCCAGAGTTGATTGTGTCAAACTTAAAGATGAATTGTAGCTCAGCAGTTTCTCTTTGAAGTCTGGTCCTGAAGTTTTTTTGCTCTTTGCTCCTTTATGAAAATGATCCCCACTGTATATTCTCCTTTGCTTGTAGAGTGTCTAGGTAGTATCGACAATCTTGCTATTGTCAAGGGAGGATTTTGCTCCGACTGATTTTTAATGCTTCTTCTAGCCTTGTTCTGTTTATATTGATAACCTTTCATAATATTTGATGACAGTGACATTTCAGCATAACCTCTCAGTGATTATATCTGAACAATAACAATTCCACCTGCTGAGCATCAGACACAAGCCAGGGTTAACTGCTATATATGCAGGTCAGACAGAGACTTTTAGGGACATGACAGTAAAACTAAAGGCCCAGAGGCATGAACCTTGATGTGGTTATGCAAAGTGAATATCAATACTGGACAGCTTTCTGGAAGATATAGCTTATCAATCTGTAGAGGCAGGGCCTGAGGTACGGAAGGCAGGAACTCAAGTTATTGGTCTCAATACAGGAGTAACAGGGTAAATTGGTGGCCTGGCTAGACCAGGTCTGGCTAGATCAGTGTTTCTCAACCAATGGTATGAGTACCCTTATGGGTACTCGAGAGAAGTCTGGGGGTACGTCAACACAACTGAAATATGGAGAAAACTGAATTTTTGTTTTAAGTTTTACAGTGCTTTATTATTTTTGTACTTTTTACACCCAAAAATGTCATCGCCCATTCGGCTATGATTAAGCTGTTTAAACAAAGGTGTTGCAATGGTAGAAAAAATGTTGTGTGTCTGAAAATTGTAGGTACTGGGGGTATTTATAATTTTTTTTTCAAAAAAGGGGGTACTTATAATTATTTTTTTTTTAAAAAAGGGGTACTTTATAAAATAAAGGTTGAGAAACACAGGTCTAGACTAGGGGTCTCAAACTCATGGCCCATGGGCCATCTGCAGCCCAAGCTGTTCCACAATTTGCCCTATGCACAGCTGCTGGCACATGAGTCCCTGTGGCCATCTGGGTGGTGCAGCTCTTCCCCCAAGTCCAGCCCTTGCTCCACCTCCATCCCACCTCTTTCCAGCCCTGCTCGGCTCTTTCCCCTCTCATCTTAACTCTTCCCTCAAGTACCCTTCCCCAAGGGATGCAGCCTCAAGCATTACTAGTAGGCCTGCTGTGGGGCAGCAGTAGTGGCCTCCTTCCACCCCTCCCCACTGTACTCACTGCAGTGGTGGGAGCTGCAGGGAAGCAGAGTGATGTAGCTGCATCTACTCTGCTCTGTCACCATTTCCCAGGGCAACCCGGTCACTCTGCTTCACTATGGCAGTGGGAAGTACAGCATCCCAGCCCCAGTGCAGGGTGGCTTGGGAGAGGGAGGTGGAGCAGACCAGTCTGCTTCCTTGCTCTTGTTTCCCTGCAGCTCCTGCCACTGTGATGAGTGTGGGATGGCCCGACTCCTCCTTCCAGCTCCAGCCTGCCCAGGGTCCAACAGACTACCTTGAATATGAGGGACCCCCTCTCATCTATAGGACGGCTTGGGAAGCCACAATGGCGCCCCATGAAGTGCGAGGCTTGGGGTGGCCATCCCAAACCATCCTATGGATGGCGTGGTGCTGCACACACCTCCCCATGGCCATATGGCAGTGGCAGAGAGCTAGCAGACAGAAGACACACTAGCCCCTGTGCTACCAGTGGTGACACTGGGGACTTCTGCGGGCGTTAAATTACCAGGGGATGGCAGGGGGAGGGGGAGCATGCAGGCCGGCAGGCAGGGCCCGGAGACGCTTGGCGGGGATGTATGGAAATGCCCAGCCCATTTCCCCAGAGCCCTGCCAGAGGGGGATACCTGTTGTACCACTGGGAGGACTTGAACACTGGCACTGACCCTAAGGTAACCCAATTGGACTACACTCTCTGAAGGTCGCTTCTGGCCTTACAATCTAGGGGTATGTCTAGACTACATGGCTCCATCGACAGAGCCATGTAGATGAGTTCACTAGACATAGGAAAATGAAGCGGCGATTTAAATAATAAGCCTTTGTCGATCGTTCCGGTAAACCTCGTTCCACAAGGCATAACAGAGCAGTCGACAAAGGCTTCCGTTGTCAACGGCGGAGCATCCAGACTACCGCACTGTGCCGCCAAACTCAGTGCGGCGGCCATTTTGATGTAAATGAAGCGGCGATTATTTAAATCGCTGCTTCATTTTCCTATGTCTAGTGAACTCATCTACATGGCTCTGTCGACGGAGCCATGTAGTCTAGACATACCCTAGGAGTCTAAAACTCCAGGGGAAAGGCTCAGTCAGCCTTTACTGACCTTGCTGCCCTTGAAAACACCACCCCTACTGCCACTCAGGGCTTTTTGGGCGTCATGTGGCCACAGACACCTGTGGCCGTCCCCCTGCACCAGGCACAAGATGGCGGCCGTGTGGCTGACCTTGGTGCATGAGGCGCCGCTTCTCTTCCGCTTGCTGCTCCGTGAGGAGGATTTGCTGGAACAGGGAGTCCAGGCTCATTTCTGTCTCTTGGGGGGGCAGGGCTTGGGGTTATTTTCCCATCCCTGGGGGGATTATTCACCACTTCAGAGGGCCCCTCACACAGGGTTTAGGGAGCCCTTCCCTGAGCCTGCCTGACTCCTCCCCCTTTAGCAGTGGCCTTGTGCCCGGTCCCTCCCACCTCCCCCACCCGTCCCTGCCTGGCTGCCTCAGTTCCTGTCTCCCGACTGGTGGCTGGAGAAACAGCCCCTCAGGAGCAGTTTCTGGAGCTAAGGAGGAGCCTCACAACCAGCACATCAGATGGGGAAGCCTGAAGTTAGAGGAGAAGGACGAAGGTGGGTTGAGGGGTGGGAAAAGAGAAGCTCAGCGGTAGAGGTGGTTGGAAAGGGGAGACTGGTGGTTGTAAAGAGGGAGAAGGCAAAGTAGGGGTTGGATGGAAAGACAGTGGTAGATAGCGGGGGTCTTGTGGTGGAGACATTTGTATGTGCATCTGCAAGAGAACTTCTTGTATGTGACACTCAGCAGTTGATTTTACATTTGTAGTTCACTTTTGTATCTGAAGTATGCAGAAATGTGCCCACTATAAGCCAGATTCATTCTTGGTGTAACTCCAAAGACTGAAGTAACACTGGAGTGAGCTTTTGCCCCGTAGGCAAAAGAATGTAATAGTTTTTAAGCACTGAACTATAAAAGATTAAGCACAGAGTGCGGGCTTTGTGTTCAAGAGACTGATTTGTCTTTTAGAGTTTTGGCATGGTTTTCTATTTCACATTAACGTGTTTATTAGCTCTGGAGAAAATCAACTTAGTACCAGAAGCTCATTAATCTGAATATACATTTTTTAATTAGTGTGGTTAGTTCTCTTAACTCTAATAAAACTTTTCAAACTTAGGCGGTGTCTAGGCAGTAAGGTAGTATTTTTTTTTAAGTAAGGTGAAAAATTAACTTTGTTTCCTTAAGTGGTTCTGCTATCTGACAACAGGCTTGTTTGGCTTCAACTGACATTTGGCATCTCTGAATAGAGAAATAAGCAGCAGTTGCAGGGAATCTGCTGCCAGATGTCCCGTAATACCAGACCTCCCAACAGAGGGTTGAAGGAGAGGCGACAGTTGCCCTGGAGCCTGGTGATTCAAAGGGGCTTAGGGAGCCACTGCTGTACTTGGAGCTTGAGCCCTTTAAATTGCTGCCTGAGCAGTGCGCAGTGCACTCTGGGCAGCTCTGGGTGCTTTGGTCTGTGTGGCATTGAGGCCCAGCTGCCCTCAACCCCGTCCCTTCTGCCTTAGGCCCTGCTCTTTCTGGAAGCGCATTGCTGTCCCCCTCCTTCTTTACCCAGGAGCCAGGCATGGATGTTGGCTCCGCCTAGTACAGCAATAGGATCCAGATTCTGGTATGACTGGAGAGCTACAAGGAGAATGGTTGTTGAGAATTGGTTTAGGCTAAGTAGTTGCTGGCAGAGCATTCGTACAGTAGAACCTGAGTTAGGTTGTTTGTAACTCTGAACAAAATGTTATGGTTGTTCTTTCAAAAGTTTACAGCTAAATATTAACTTAATATAGCTTTGAAATGTGCAGGAAAAAAAACACTGCTGTTAACCATTTTCCTTTAAATTAAATAAGCACAGAAACAGTTTTCTTACCTTGCCAAATCTTTATTTTCCCTTTATTGTTTTTAGTAGTTCACACTTAACAGTACAGTGCAATATTGTTTTTGTCTGCACTACTGTTTGATTGCATACTCTTGGTTCCAGGTGACGTCTGTGGTTGTCCAGTCAGTTCATAACTCTGGTGGTTGTAACTTTGAGATTCTACTGTATTTGTATGAGGCAGGTAGAAAGGAGGAAAGATTTGAAGGAAGCTTTGTGTTTGTTTTTTTTTAAAGAAGCATTCCAACTGAGGAGAAGTTTCTGAGCAGAGAAGTGTAAGTAGGAAGCAGACACTCACCAGGACCTAAATAGGGAAACAAAACCTCAGGACTGAAAGTGAATGAACTAGCTAGCCTGAAGCAAGGGCAAAAATAATGTAAATTGTCAAAGATGAATTGATTCTAAAGCAGTAAATCTTCTGAGTCAAAGAACATGTAACATAAGAACAACTATATTGGGTAAGACAAAAGGGGCATCTAGGTCAATATTGTGTCTGATGACAGTGGATAATGCCAGGGGCTTCAAAGAAATGAACAGAACAGGTAATCATCAAGTGTGCCACACTGATGAGAACCGGCTGTGGAGTTTGTCCATTGTTGTTAGGTAATCATTTCTATTTTAGCTCATAATTTATGTTAACATTATATCTTCTTAAATCGTACAAAAAGTGGTTTGACCCTTCTAGCTATAATATCCCCTATTAGCTTTATGAATAACTCTTTATTGCAAACAGTAAAGTAGGCAGATTTTCATTTGTGTTTGTATCATGGTTATTTTAAAGTAACTGTCTAGTCAACAGGTGCTTCAAAAGATTAAACTATTTGTGCATATTGGGAATAAAGTCTCACATTTTTCAGTTTAGGAAGTACTCAGATGTTCTGTGTCTAGATAAATGTTGATTCTCTTGCATGTACATTTCATTTACATATGAACCAATATTTAACACGTCACCATCTCTACTGTTCCTCTTGTATATTTGTTATAAAACATGTTCGTTTGCTTACTATCACTGTTTGCATTATTCATGTCTATGTATTGTTTTATTGTAGGAGTGTGAATTGCTTCCAGTAGCAGCTAGGGGGCTCTATTGGTTCACTTTTTGAGATAAACAACAGAATGACATAAGTAGGCTCTGTTACTTGTTTGCTTATATAGGAATTCCAATGTAAAAATAACATGTATTTAAGATACATGCCTTTGTACAGGACTAGGATTTTTACATTTTTTAAATTTCTCTCTCAAAGTAGCTTTATATTTTCTTCTGATATTTATTACCCCCTATTTCTGACTTCTGGTGCAGTGTTTCAGTATTGAAATTCAGAACCAGCTGATGCGTATTAATGGGGTTTGTTCTATGATGGTCACTGAAGAACACAGCAACTTGTGTAGTTATCTGGACAGATAATATTTAAAACAGAGCATTTTTTATTATTGCAGCTAAGGATTACTCAACACGCTGCCTGCAGGCCACATGTAGCCCGCGGCCAGTTTATTTGCAGCCTGAAATATGGTTTGGGTTTACATGGGGCTCAACACATGGCCCACGGGGAGGATTCTTTGAACATGGCCTCCCTGGGAATACGCTCCACAACGGCAAGGCATCTCCCAGGCGGGGTGAGCATTGAAAGACTCAATCAGACGGACTGGCTGGAACAGATGGGTGCAGGGTATTGGCGTTTCTAGCCCCCAGAGCAGAGGTGTCCGGAACACCGAGGCATTGTGGGACGTGCTGGCTGCTTAGCCTTGTGGGAAAAGCCTGAGAGGTGCTGACTGACTTATACTGGCCATATTTGGGTCCAGCGCCCCTGCTTAAGCTTAATCTTTGTATTCAAGCCTGTCAGTGTGAAAGAAGCTATTTGCATATATTTACAGGTAAATGTGCATATATATGCAACCACATTTAAGTTGCGGCCCTCCGGGGCTTTAAAAGTTGAGTAGCCCTGTTGTAGCTGGTAACTGTGGAAAAAATATTGGGTAAACAAAAGCTCACTTTAAAAAATTGTTCTGGGAATTCATAAACCATGCAGGCTTGATTAAAGGAGAGAAAAAAAAACACTGAAATGGAGGCTCCTGAAGCTTAATCTTCTCTATACTCTCTGATGGTTCAGGGGGGAGGGGAATAATGGAAGGAGAAGGATATGGCATTTAATGGTAATACAGTACTTTAAATTAGTCCTTGTGCTCCTTTTGTCCTCTGGCACTTGTTGAAACACTAAGCCTACTGAAATTACAGTCCAGTATAAATGCCATCTTGTTCCAGACGCCAAAAGCTCATTCAAAGCTTAATAAATTCCTCAAAATTGATTTTTGGGGGGCTTGTGCAGGTTTTTGTTGTTTGAAGGATGGATAGCATTGTTATTTAATTTGGCATTTACAAAGGCTAAATGCCTTGGGCCAAATCTTTGACTTATCTAAGCAACTACTTATATTGACTTCTTGGGATGAAGATAAATTCTGGACAAATAAAGCAACTTAAACTTGTCCTCCCCAATGATTTCTTAATTTTGTCTCTTCTTCTCAGTCTCTTTCATGCAGTTGGAAGAAAAGAGCCCATCAAAGTACTGCTATCTGCTGGATCCTTTCCCATTAGTCTTTTGTTCCCATTCTCTGTAACTCATTAGTTTGATATCAGATTCACTCCACCTGTTCTTTCCCAGAATTACATTACTCTTTTTCCCAAAATACTTCCATTCAGCAGTTCCATCAGATCTACACTTAATAACTTTATATTTCTCATGGCTCAGTGGCTTTGACTTCAGCATTTTCATTCAAGTTCACTCTGTGAAATGAGTCTATGGCAAGGATGATAAACATGTGGCCTGCAGGCTGGATGCAGCCCAGTCAATGTATTAATTCCGTCCCCACATCAATTTACCATTCCATTGTCATTGTGGACTGCTGCCAGCAATAGCAATTGACACAGCACTACAGCAGATGGAAGCTGGCTGCAAAGCAATACTGATGAGTATTTCGGACAGTTTAATTTTGCAGATGAATTTGGTGTAAAATGACATTCCCTTACCAACAGATGGGGATGCAGAAGGAAAGCCATCAGGATTCTGCATGGAACAAGTACAGAACATGCCTTTTATGTTTGTAACACTGACCACTGATTCCACTGAAAATGTCATTTGGCCCTCAGGACAGAATGAGTTTGATATCTCTTACCTATTGAGTGCACCCACTCCAGCTTCATGCAATAAGGTGAGTCTAACCTGAAAACAAGAAAGCTAGTAAATTGTGACAGGTTTCTTTTCCTAGGCTAATTTTGAAAATTTTCTGAAGCTTCCCTTTTACAGTGATAAGGGGACTATGTTTTATCTTACTGACAGTCATTGTTCATTTGTTAAAAGAAAAATATCCTTTTGATGCAAATAAAAAATGTTTATCAAATGCTTGGATTTTTTTTTTAAATTATGCATGTTTGAAAGGTACAAACTGAATTAAAAGCTTCACTTCGTTTTACTACTTGATAAAAAATATCAGCCACTGCTGACA